GAAGAGTTCCTATTTCTCCACAGCCTTGCCAGCATTGGTTATTGGTTGATTTCTTAATGATACCCATTCTTACTGGGGTGAGATGAAATCTCAATGTTGTTTTAAATTGCATTTCTCGAATGACTAATGATGTTAAACATTTTCTCATGTATTTAGCTGCCATTTGTATTTCTTTACCTGAGAAGTGTGTATTCATCTCAGCTGTCCATTTTTGGATTGGGTCTTTGAATTTGGGCGGTGTGATGATTTTTAATTCTTTGTATGTTCTAGATAGAAGCCCTTTGTCTGAGGGACAGTCAGTTAAAATTTTTTCCCAATTTGTGGATTTTCTTTTTACTCCGCTGCTGCTTTCTTCAGATGTGCAGAAGCTTTTCAGTAGGATGAGATCCCAGTTGATTCTTTGAAGTATTTCACGTGAGGTTTGGTTTTTGTTCATGAACTCTCTGCCTACCCCTATGTTTTCAAGATTTTTACCTACTTTCTCTTCCAATACATTTAGTGTTTCTGTTTTAACATTGAGATCTGTGATCCATTTTGACTTGAGTTTGTTGCATGGTGACAGACTTGGGTCTATTTTCAGTCTTTGGCAGGTGGCATGCCAGTTTTTCCAGCACCATGTATTAAAGAGGCTATCATTCTTCCAATGAGTATGTTTGGGTCCCTTGTCAAAGATTAGGTGGCTGAGAGTGTTTGTGGTTGTGGCTGTGTCTTCCAGTCTGTTCCACTGATCCTCTGGTCTGTTTTTTGCCAGTACCATGTTGATTTTAATTACAGTAGCTTTGTAGTATAATTTCAGGTGATGGATTGTGATTCCACCTGACTTGTCTTTGGTGTTCAGGACTGCTTTTGCTCTTCTGGGTCTCTTCTGGTTCCAGATGAATTTAAGGAATGTTTTCTCTAGATCTGTCAGGTATGCTAATGGAAGTTTAATGGGAATTGCATTGAATCTGTACAGCAATTTTAGTAGTATGGCTATTTTCACAATGTTGTTTCTTCCTATCCATGAGCAAGAAATATTTTTCCATTTATTGAAATCCTCTTGGATCTCTTTTTTCAGAGTACTGTAGTTTCCACTGAATAGATCTTTTACTTCTTTTGTTAGGTTGATTCCTAAATATTTCAATTTCTTGGATGCTATTGTGAAAGGTATGGTTTTCTTAATTTCTCTCTCAGTCTGTTTGTTGTTTATGTATAGGAATGCTACTGATTTTTGGGTGCTGACTTTGTATCTGCATTTTGCTTGTGTCCAGATACTTTGCCTGAGACTGAGATTAAAGGTGGTGGACTAATTAATCCTGCAGTACAAATTTTAAGGCAGACTAATATTAAGGCAGTAGATTGGCTACTGTTGGAGGCTTTTAGTCAGATTTATGTTGAGAGTCAAGAGCAAAGAGTACATCAGAATGATTCAAAACATTGTGAGTTTGGCTTCAAAGGAAGCTCCAGTAAAGCTGTGGATTGCAAAGACAGAGCACAGGATAAATTGGCCCCTGAAAAGACTATCAAGAAGAATCCAAGTATTTCAGAAGAAGATAATAGAAAAGATGGCCTGAGGACATCACAAGAACAAGCAGGACTCTAGCTTTTTCAGTCTCAGTATTATAAAGGTGAATGACTTTGCTTTGAGAAGAGAGTCCTGGAGCACCATGCTCCAGAATGATGGCATCCTAGAGAATTTGTTCCTCAGCATTGGGTTCATAGTGTTCAGTGATACAGGCCCTCAACCCCTACAGACAAAAGAGAAACAAGCCTGGCTACTGCTTTACCTGGTGACAGACCCTGGTGTGGGAGACCAGATATGAAGACCAAGGACTAACTGGCCTTTTCTGTGGCACTAGAGAGAAAGGTGACATGAGTGCAGGCTGACATGCTGCAGGGAAAATTAATACTGTTGAGATGCTGTTGTTTACTCAGACATGTACCATGGATATTGGGAAACACATGAATCTATTTTTATTCTATAATGAATTCATGTACAAAAAATATATTCAGAAAATTCATTTGGTATTGCAAAGAAAGGTCTTGTTTAAAATGCAAAATATTGCTTCGTAGCAAATTAGGGCTGATAAAAAGAACAGGAAGAATATAAAATATAAAGCCAAACTGAATAAATGTAAAACTACTACAAAAATGTAAGCAGAAGAATTTATAATTGTCTTTCAAACTACTGTATTTTTAAAAGATCTCTTTTGAAAAGGAGCCTACTGACAAAAGAACAGAGAATTGAAAATATTAGTTAAAAAGGAGTTGTGAAAATAATTTTTCTGTAATGCCATTTAACAAGAAAATTAAAGGGAAGTGCACAAATAAATAATAATACCTTTACATAAAGCTCTGAGGAAAATATGTTAGATAGCAAATTTGGGTTTCTCAGATAAGATGAAGCATGTGATATTTAAACTTGTCTGTCTGATTTATTTTACTTAATATTGTAGTCTCATGTTACTTCCATTTAGCTATGAATGCCTCAAGTATATCCTTCTTTATGGTGGAATAGTACCCCATCGTGTGTAAATACCACTTTATCTTAAATTCTGCTGCTATAAACATTCCTGTATCACTGCAATACGACTTGAACACTTGTGGGAAAATACCTAGAAGGGGACTAGCTAGGTCAAGTGGAATTTCTAGATTTAGTTTTTCTGAGGAATTTCCGTATTGGTTTCCATAATGTTTACATTCCCCAAAACAATGTAGAAGGGTTCCTTTTGTCTGCAGCCTTACCAGAGCTTGTTGTTATTTGATTTCTTAACAATAGGCATTCTTTCTAAAGTAAGGTGGAATCTCAGTGTTGTTTTAATTCCCATTTCTCTAATGACCTGTGATGTTGAACATTTTTTCATGTATTTATTGGCCACTTGTACTTCTTTAGAGAAGTATCTACTCATTTTGGGAGATCAAATTTTTTTTAATTCTTAGCATATCCTCGATGTTAGTCCTCCATCTGAGGAATATTAAAGATTTAGACTTGAGAGATTTTATTCAATTCCTACATCCTCGCTTCATTTCTTCTTTCATTTCTTCTCTCCCTCTTATTTCTTTCAGCAAATATTTGTTGACACTTTCTAGGTACTTTGTGGATTCTAGGTTATATAAACACAAGAGTGAATAGACAAGACTTCTGCTCCCACAAAGTGGTGAGTCCACTAAGAACTGTAAACAACCAAGAAAGCAGAATTTTTAGAAATCAAAATAGTTGCATATTGTGATAAATATTGTAATGGAGATAAGCATTTGATAAGGAGTAATTGAGGTAGTCAGGAAAGCCTTTCCATGGTGATATCTGAGTTGAGATCCAAAGACTGTAGCAGCACTAGTCTTGCAAATGTCTAGCAGAAGAGAATTCCAGACACACAGTACACATGCAAAATTATGACTGAGAAACTTTGGTGAGGTGAGTTGGCTCAAACTGTGAGAGGAAAATACAAGGATTAAGAAAAAAACATGAGGGGCTGGGGATTTAGCTCAGCGGCAAAAGCGCCTGCCTGGCAAGCGCAAGGTCGTGAGTTCGGTTCCCGGTACCGGAGAAAAACCAAAAAAAGAAAAAAACATGATACAGGTAGATACAGAGTGACTTAAAATCTACACATTATGAAAAGCTCCAAAGGCAAACAATCTGAAACAGACGCAAGTGCTGTGTGTTTTAGAAGTGAGAGAGCAGCACAACTGTATAGAGAGAAAGCTGGCTTTATCCATCAACCCTACATCTCAGTAGGTTAGCACAAGAGAAGTGTGCTTTTTGTTTGCCTTACACCCCGCAAATGAGTTGATAGAACTTTCTATTCTACACAGTGTTTCAGAAACCCAGGTCAGAGCACTGGTCTTCGGACCAGCGGCTCACTCCCGGCCTCGTAGGCCCCCAGAAG